TGAAGAAGCCATGCAGTTACATAATCAAAGCATCCCTGACAGATGGACATCTAGCTTCTGTTTAAAAACCTCCAGCAAAGACTCCATCAGGCGGCATATACCACTGTTGAACACCTCTTACCACCAGGAAGTCCTTTCTCACATTTAGGTTTAATCTCTTTTTCTTTAATTTGAATCCATTGTTTCATGTCCTAGGGTCCTTCCACACAGCCCTATATCCCAGAATATCAAGCCTGAAAATCCTACATTATCTGAGTGTGGAGTCAGATAACCCAGTTCAAAGCAGATATTGTTGGATTTTCCTCCTTGATATTCTAGGATATAGGGCTGTGTGGAGGGGCCCCTAATCTCCAGAGCAGTAGAAAACACACTTAGAATCATAGAGTTGGAAGAGACCTCGTGGGCCATCCAGTCCAACCCCCTGCCAAGACGTAGAAAAATTGCATTTAAAGCACCCCCCAACAGATGGCCATCCAGCCTCTGTTTAAAAGCCTCCATAGAAGGAGCCTCCAGCACACTCTGGGGCAGAGAGTTCCACTGCTGAACAGCTCTCACAGTTAGGAAGTCCTTCTTAATGTTCAGGTGGAATCTCCTTTCCTGTAATTTGAAGCCATTGCTCTGCTTCCTAGTCTCCAGGATAGCAGAAAACAAGTTGCTCCCTCCTCCCTATGACTCCCCCTCACATATTTATACATAGCCATCATGTCTCCTCTCAGCCCTCTCTTCTGAAGGCTAAACATGCCCAGCTCTTTAAGCTGCTCCTCATACAGCTTGTTCTCCAGACCCTTGATCATTTTATTTGCCCTCCCCTGGAAACATCCCAGCTTGCCCCTTCCTCAATGTGACATCCGCCTTTCTGATATCCCTTCTTAACCTTCTCCTCTCCATACTAAACATACCCAGATTCATAACCACTCCTCATAAGACTTGGTTTCCAAACATTTGGTCATTTTGACTGCCCTCCTCTTGTCTATCTGCTTGAAGGACACAATATTCCAGGTGACCTACTGGACACCATATTCCAGGTGAGATCTGAACAATACAGAATAGGATAGGACTACGACTTCCCTCCATCTAGACACTATATTCCTATTGTTGCAGTCAAAAATCACTGGCTGCTGCCTCACACTGTTGACTCATGTTCAGTTTGTGGTCTACTAAGACTCCTAAATCTCTTTCAAATGTACTCAGGTGTCACCCATCTTATATCTGTGGATTTCATTTTTTATGCCTTTGTGTAGTGCCTTAACTTTTCCCCTGCTGTTAGTTTTGGCTCAGTTCTCTAATCTGTTAAGATCATTTCAGATTCTGATCCTGTCCTTTGGTGTCATCTGCAAATCTAGTAAGTATGAGGGTGGGTCAAAAAGTAATGCCTCCATCACTCCAACTTTTATTTCTTTCACAGCTACTGGATTATCTACGCATGATATGATAGAGATAACCTTACTCTATTGATATAGTCTTTTCCTTTTCCGATTGACTGATTTAGAACCATGTATCTGAAGCTAAAAGAAAGGGTTGTCATTGAATTTCTGGCCAAAGAAGGTTGTACACCTTAAGGAAATCCATAATCACTTGAAGAATGTTTATGATTTAACCCCTTCTGACCTTTACAGGTTTGGACCTCTGAAAGGCAACATATGTGGTTTCCGATTCAATTACTTGAATGACGTTAAAATAGCTTTGAAATAATAAGTAACAAAACAAACCCTTGATTTTTTACAAAATGGTTTTGCTGCCTTGGTTAAACAATGTTGCAAATGTGTATAAATTGATGGTGGCTATGTTGAAAGATAGTTTTGCATAGAGGACAGTCCAGTCTATGACAGTGTTTCTCAATCTGGGGGTGTCAGAGGGGTTGACAAAGACCATTGGAAAACACTGAATTTTCTGTTGGTGATGGGGATTCTGTGTGGGAAATTTTGCCCAGTTCTATCGTTAGTGGGGTTCAGAATGCTCTTTGATTATAGGTGAACTATATATCCCAGCAACTACAACTCCCAAATGTCAAGGTCTATTTTCCCCAAACTCCACCAGTGTTCACATTTGGGCATATTGAGTATTCATGCTACGTTTGGTCCAGATCCATCATTGTTTGAGTCCACAATGCTCTCTGGATGTAGGTGAACTACAACTCCCAAACTCAAGGTCAATGCCCACCAAACCTTTCCAATCTTTTATGTTTGTCATGGGAGTTCTGTGTGCCAAGTTGGTTCAATTCCATCATTGGTGGAGTTCAGAATGCGCTTTGATTGCAGGCTAACTATAAATCCCAGCAATTACAACTCCCAAATGGCAACAGTAACCCCCCAACCCCACCAGTATTCAAATGTGCTGATATCAGGTATTTGTGCCTAATTTGATCCTGTGAATGAAAATACATCCTGCATCTCAGATATTTACATTATGATTCATAATAGTAGCAAAATTAGAATTATGAAGTAGCAACGAAAATAATTTTATGCTGGGGTGGGTGGGTTACTGCAACATGAGAAGTTATTAAGAGGTCACAGCATTAGGAAGGTTGAGAATCACTGGTCTGTAGCAACTTCTGCTGTTCTATATCCATTCATAACGTTTTAATGACACAGGAGGCAAAACTTTTTGACCCACTTGCGTATGTTCTTTAAGTCATTGTTAAGATTACAATAATATCCTCCTGTGGCACCCAGAACTGGAAAAAGCATTCCAGGCAAGGTTTGATCAAAGCAGAACAGACTGGTACTATGACTTCACTCAATGGAGGCAGTTAGTATACTACTAAGGTAACCTAGAATCGCATTGGTTGCACTGAGTGCTGCATCACACTGTGGGCCCTTGTGCTGAAAGGACTGGTGACCACCAGGTCCGTGCTTCGAATCTGATGAGAGTGGGTTGAGCTCCCTCTGCCAGCTCCAGCTCCCCAAGTGGGGACATGAGAGAATGGTAAAACATCTGGGCGTCCCCTGGGCAACGTCCTTGCAAACAGCCAGTTCTCTCACACCAGAAGTGACTTGTAGTTTGACACAGAAAAAAAAACCACTCAGCCATATCTCGATTTCACAGATAGGGATGTGACAGAGGAGTTGAGAGATCTGTCGAGATTTGAACCCAGGCTTTCCCTGGCCAAGCGTCCTTTGCTTGCTCCTTTGAGGAGAGGGCTGAGCCTGGTGCGGGTTCGCTTCCTTTCCGTTGGCCCGACTCAGAGGCTCTCCCCTCCCCTCCCCTCGCTTTCCTCCCCCTCCCCGCTCTGCAAACACAAGGCGCCCCTTTGTATCTCCTCCTCCTTCCCAGGGCAGAACAGAAGCGCTGTGTGCGCGCCCGGCGAGGAAGCCGCCTCTTGCTCGGGCCCCCCACGCACGCACGCACGCTCCAAAACACACCTCGGGCGGGATCCTCAGGTGGAGGAGGAGGAGCAGGAGCACCACGGGAATTGTTTGCCTTCCACCTTTAGTCTGGGGGAGGCAGGAGTGGGCTCTGGAGGGTCCCACCCGGAGAGATGTAGGATGTGGCTCTTGGTGTGATGCGGCTGCTGAGAGGACAAAAAACCCCTTCCCCCCTTTTTTGTGTGTGTCAGGAGCGACTTGAGAAACTGCAAGCCACTTCTGGTGTGAGAGAATTGGCCGTCTGCAAGGACGTTGCTCAGGGGAGGCCCGGATGTTTTTGATGTTTACCATCCTTATGGGAGGCTTCTCCCCCCTTTTGTGTGTGTGTGTCAGGAGTGACTTGAGAAACTTCAAATGGCTTCTGGTGTGAGAGAATTGGCCGTTTGCAAGGAGGTTGCCCAGGGAAAGCCTGGATGTTTTTTGATGTTTTACCGTCCTTATGGGAGGCTTCTCCCACCCTTTGTGTGTGTGTCAGGAATGACTTGAGAAACTGCAAGTCGCTTCTGGTGTGAGAGAATTGGCTGTCTGCAAGGACGTTGCCCAGGGGGACGCCTGGATGTATTTGATATTCTGCCATCCTTATGGGAGGCTTCTCCCTCCTTTTTGTGTGTGTCAGGAGCAACTTGAGAAACTGCAAGTCGCTTCTGGTGTGAGAGAGTTGGCCGTCTGCAAGGACGTTGCCCATGGGGATGCCTGGATCTTTTTGATATTTTACCATCCTCCTGGGAGACTTCTCCCTCCTTTTTTGTGTGTGGCAGGAGCGACTTGAGAAACTACAAGTGGCTTCTGGTGTGAGGGAATTGCCAGTCTGCAAGGACGTTCCCCCAGGGGACGCCTGGATGCTTTTGATGCCTTTACCATCCTTGTGATGGTAAAGCCTCTCACAAGGATGGTAAAAACATCAAAACATCCAGGCGTCCCCTGGGTAACGTCCTTGCAGACGGCCATTAGAAGCGGCTTGGCTACTGACAGGACAAAAATAAAACAAACCATCATTGTGGGAGGCTTCTCTCATGTTCCCGCATGGGGAGCTGGAGCTGACAGGGGGAGCTCATCCGCGCTGTCCCCGGATTTAAACCTCTGACCTGTCAGTCTTCAGTCCTGTGGGCATAAGAGTTTAACCCCTTGCGCCAGGGGGAGCGCACCCCCTCCCAAAGAGAGAGAGAGAGAGAGAGAGAGAGAGAGAGACTCATACACACACACACACAAATACCCTCCTTCCCGGCTTGCTCTCCCTTTCCCTCCTCTCCCTCTCCTCCATCATCCCTCCACTTTTGTTGTTGTCGCTGCCTCTACCGCTGCGTCTGGGGGTGGAAGGGATATTTTTAACCCAAAGGAGGCGGGAGGGAGGCTTTGGAAAAAGGGGAGGGGGCGATCTTTTGGAGGGAGAAGGGGGAACCCCGAGACTGACCCAAGGCCCGAAGCAGTGGGGTGAGGACACGGAGAGGAGGCCGGTCCTCCCAACCTGCTCTCTCTGAGCATCTGGCTCTTTCCTTTGCCTGCCGCAAGGCTTGGAGGAGGAGGAGGAGGAGGAGGAAGGGACGGAGGAGGAGGAGGAGCCTTGCTCGCGTTATTATCAGAAATATTACTGTTTGATTCTCCTTTGGGGAGAGGGAGGGGGGAGAGAGAGGCGATTCCTCCCTCCCTTCCCCTCCCCTACCTCTCCTCTCGCTTCCCTCTCGCCCCTCCTCTCGCCAGTCCCTATTTCTCCTGGCTTCCCAGGGCCGCCTCGCCAATCTCATTCTCTCTTTCTCTCTCTTTCCTCCGCATTTTCTCTGCTCTCCCGCATCAGATCCGCACCCGGCTTGGTGGGCTGCTGGCTCGCCCCCTCCCTCCCCTGCAGAGGAGGAGGAAGAGGAGGGAGAAGGAGGAGGAGGAGGAGGGTGTTCTGCTGCTGCTGCTTGTGGGGGCGAAGCGTCGGGGGCGGAGGGTTCTTCTCCCGGGCTGAGCCATGCCGGGGGGCGGCCCAGGCTGCAGGGAGCCGGGATGGGGCGAGACGATGCCGCTGCTGTGGCTGCTCCGGATCCCAGCATCGCCTCACCGGGGGCCCAGGAGGCAGAGGAGCCGGCGACGCCGACGACGCTGCTGCTGCTGAAAGGCGACGAGCCATGGGTGAGTGAGTGAGTGAGTGGGGGAACCCTCCCCACACCTTCCTCAAAAGACCCCCAAGGATGGCATCTCCGGCCCTGCCTGCTTTTCCCTTTCCCTCGCCCTCCTGCTCCCATCTTTCCCCATCTCTCCATCCATCTTCCCTTTTGTCTCGGGTTTCCACCCCCCCTCCGCATCCTCTCCCTCCTTTGGTACCCCCTTTCTCCATCCTCAGGCTCTCCCTCCGACCCTCTTTGTACTAGATTGATGCTCTTTGCCTACCGGGAGGGAGAAGGGGATGTTGGTTGGGGAATTGTTTGAAGGCTGGGGCTGCTCCAGCTTGTTTGTAGGGCTGGGAGGATAGAACAGGAAGGATGCTCAACCCTCCTCTAATCCCCCATTGGTCAATCCCGGTCCCTGGAGCTCCTCAACCACATCGCTGCAAGCATTGCCTTTCTTCAACACACACACACACAGTTGATGCTGTCTGCCTAAGTCTCAAAGGGAAGTCAAAGTGGGGAGACAAGTGCATCTGGAGATGTTCCTCCTGACTGAAGGGGTGATGTGGTGCCTGGTTGTAGTTGAGGCTTCTAAAGCTTGTTTGTAGGATTGGGGGGATAAGAGGGTCCATGGCATTGCCTTTCTTCAACATACACACACACAGTTGATGTTTCCTGCCCAAGTCTCAAAGGGAAGTCAGAGTGGACAGACAAGTGCATCTGGAGATGTTCCTCCTGACAGAAGGGGTGATGTGGTGCCTGGTCCAAGCTGAGGCTGCTAAGGCTTGTTCGTGGGGTTGGAGAGATAGAGGGTCCTTGGCATTGCCTTTCTTCAACACACACACACACAGTTGATGCTGCCTGCCCAAGTCTCAAAGGGAAGTCAAAGTGGAGAGACAAGTGCACCTGGAGATGTTCCTCCTGACTGAAGGAGTGATGTGGTGCCTGGTCCTACCTGGGGCTGCTAAAGCTTGTTTGTAGGGTTGGGGGGATAGAGGAAGAAGGATGCTCTACCCTTCTCAAATCCCCCCATTGGTCAATCCCTGTCCCTGGAGCTCCTGAACCACATTGCTGCAAGCAGGGTCCTTGGCATTGCTTTTCTTCAACACACACACACAGTTGATGCTGCCCAAGTCTCAAAGGGAAGTCAGAGTGGAGAGTCAAGTGCATCTGGAGATGTTCCTCCTGACTGAAGGGGTGATGTGGTGCCTAGTCCTCCAGGGACACACATTGACCAATTGAGGATTAGAGGAGGGTAGAGCATTTTTCCTCCTCAACCCGCCCTACCCTACAAACAAGCTTTAGCAGCCCCAGCTAGGACCAAGCACCACATCACCCTTTCAGTCAGGAGGAACATCTCCAGATGCACTTGTCCCAGGAGCCCCTGAACCACATCGCTGCAAGCAGGGTCCATGGCATTGCCTTTCTTCAAAACACACACACACAGTTGATGCTGCCTGCCCAAGTCTCAAAGGGAAGTCAGAGTGGAGAGACAAGTGCATCTGGAGATGTTCCTCCAGACAGAWGGGGTGATGCGGTGCCTGGTCCTCCAGGGACATGAACTGATCAATGGGGGTAGAGCATCCTTCCTCCTCTATCCCCTCAACCCTACAAACAAGCTTTAGCAGCCTCAGCTAGGACCAGGCACCACATCACCCCTTCCGTCAAGAAGAACATCTCCATATTGACTTGTCTCTTCACTCTGACTTCCCTTGGAGGCTTGGGCAGCATTAAGTGTGTGTGTTGAAGAAAGGCAATGCCAAGGACCCTGCCTGCAGCCGTTGCAACAGCAGCTGCTTATGTAGTTCAGGAGCTCAGGGAGAAGAAGGGATTAAATCCAAGTGGCTTCTCGTGCTCAGCAGCAGCCAGGGAGAAGCAACCCACCTGCGTTGCTATGAGTTTTCCAAGCTATATGGCCATGTTCCAGAAGCATTCTCTCCTGATGTTTCTCCTGCATCTATGGCCGACATCCTCAGATGTTGTGAGGTCTGCTGGAAACTAGGACAAGGGGAGTTTATATATCTGTGGAATGTCCAGGGTGGGAGAAAGAACTCTTTGTCTGTTTGAGGCAGGTGTGAATGTTAGAATCATAGAATCATTGAGTTGGAAGAGACCTCATGGGCCATCCAGTCCAACCCCCTGCCAAGATGCAGGAAAATTGCATTCAAAGCACCCCCCACACCTGACAGATGACCATCCAGCCTCTCATTAAAAGCCTCCAAAGGAGGAGCCTCCACCACCTTGATTAGCCTTGTCTTGCAAGGCTATTCAATGTTGCAATTGACTGCCTTTATTAGCATTGAATAGCTTTGCAGCTTCAAGGTCTTATTTCTTACTGCCTGGGGGAATCCTTTGTTGGGAGGTGCGCTTGTATGAATAGTATTGGGGGGGAGGGGGAAGGGAGCCACCTGGATGGAGCCAAAGATGTTCCTCCACCCCCAAGGGAAGGCCCCATCACTCCCATTTCAAAAGGGTGGGTGATGTATTCCCTCTGTTTTCCCACAAAAAAAGAGATACAAACATCTACCTCCTGCCAAGGCTGCCTACCTACAAGCAGAAGCACTGCAGCCACAGCCCATCTGTTACCCGACCTCCATGCCAGGAGGGTATCTTTGGTGCATTGGTGCCAAGCCTGCAGTATTATCTAGGTAGTAAAGAGGGTAAAAGGCGAGGAGCTGCTTTTGAACCCCAGCCTTGGTCTGAAATGCACACAAATAAGAAGTTGGCCCCTCCTGCCCTCCACCCTTTGTTTGAATATCCAGATTTTTGAAAATACACTGATCAAATCAGATTTTAGGAGCCAGGGTTGTGCTATTTTCTTTCCAGTGGTGTGTAATGTAACACCAGCGGCTAGCTTTGCTCGATTGAGCCATCCATCTCTCGCAGGGGTGGCACTAACCACCTCCTTCAGCTCCATCCCTGGGATATGTGACTGTCTGCATGAACACAGTAAAGGTGTTATGGTGCCGAGTAGGAGAGCTAGCGCTGCAGCTGCAGACCTGCATTTAGACAGTATTCAGCCTCAGTGGAAGGCAACAGAAAGCCTCTTCTGCCAAGAATCTCCTATGATATGATGCTTTAGGGTTACCACAGGTCGGAAATTACTTCAAGGCACACAGCAACAACAGCAACAGAGACCAAATAAGAGAGCAGAGAGCAAGCAAGGAGGAAGGGAAGACTAGAAAGGTAGGGCTGCCTCCTTCACTTTGTTCCCTCAAGGTTTTGGGGGATACCCATTGAGATAATTTTAGTCAATGCCCCTCAATGCCTTAAGGAGACCTGCAGAAACTTGACAAGGATGCATTGCTCCAAACTTAAATTATAGGTGAAACTAACTGTTTCATCATCAGCAAAGGATACAGAGCAGGTGGCTGAGGTGGAAAAAGAAGGGGCCTGAGGCTGTTAGGAATTGTGGGAGTTGAAGTCCAAAACACCTAGAGGGTCAAAGTTTCCCCATGCCTGATATAGAGCTTTTTAATGATCAGAGCAAATTACATATGTTATGCCTGTAATCTTTAAAATGGTTGCAAAAGGTAGGCCAGCCTTATTATTTCTGCGTTGTGGAAGCGATGTTGCAACTATTTATTAGTGGCTTTTCAAATGTGTTTGGGGTTTAGTTGAATTATGATGGAACTGGTTTAGCTCTACCTCTGGGCGAGTTTACATAGAGATGTATCTTACATCAGTCAAGCCTTGATGACTTGGGAGGGGAACACATGAACTGCAAAAGTATCACCTTCGGGTTGGAACCTTCAGTGAGTTTAAAGTTTTTATCTGCGGTGTTTGATTTGAACTGACTCATTCGCTCAAGCCTGCCTTTGCTTGAAAGTGTGGTTATCTGGAGATGACTGACTTGAGTGAATAAGTGCAAGTGTGAATCAGACTTTAATCTTCAGCAAATGCTACATGGGGCACCCAGAAACCTCATCTCCAGGAGGTTGAGTAGCCTTATAGTTCCCCCACATGCACCCACACTCACTGGGGAGAAGGGAGGGGATGGATTCGTCTATCAAAATCCCAACATAACCTACCCACATGCATGCTCAGAAGCAGAAACTGAGTCATGCAGAAAACTGTACCACTTTGTGCAACAAAACTTGGAGCATCAGGAAGTTGAAATTCCCAAACAAATCCCCATGTCTTTCCCTTAACACTCAATCCAAGACCTCATGTTGCCTGTCACTGCTGCTGTTATGAATAACTTCTCAAAAACTTTCAAACATAGGTTCTTTTTATTGCAATTTTCCAGTAAGAGAAAGCGTATCACAACTTCCATAGAACAATGTTTAGACAAAGAACAACAGTAGACCTACAGACATATAGATTCTATGTAACTACACTGGATTTACAAACAATTTACAGTTATATTGGCTGACAAACAAACAAACAATGGGGGTTCCATTTTCCCTCAGTATTCATCCACATATACATGCATCCATCACCATTTTTCCTCCATGAAGAACATCTCTTCGGACAGACTGCTTCCTTGCAAATCTGCCAACACATAGTTCCAAAACTTTCATAATGCCAAAACGCATCCTTTCCCTAAGGACAATGGCAAGGATCAAATCTGTGTTTTCCCTACAGCAGAAACTGACTCCCTGCACAAAATCCAAGACTCCAAAATCACACTCCTTCCTCTTCCCTTGAGAAAAGGAGGCATACACAATCTCTGTCCTTCTCATGGACCAGAGCAGTGGTTCCCAACCTTTTTTTGACCAGGGATCACTTTGACCAGGGACTCCTCTGCACCATTAGTACCAAAAGCGTTACGAATTAGTTTTTAGTCAACTTTAAATTTGGTTTGGGGTGGTGATTCAGAAAATTGCATTAGATAGACCACATCAGCTCTAGTTTCTAATACAGATCATATGCCATGGTCAGTGACAGGAAAGGAGTGGCAGGCGGCACAAAAGGAGCAGGTATAAATAAAATAAAATAAATAAAGAGGAAGGAGGCTCGTGGACTAGATTTTCATCCTTGCGGCCCACAGGTGATCCGTGGCCCACAGGTTAAGAATCCCTG